GAATGAATATTAAGACTTGGATGTGAACATTGAGACCTCACCTCTTGGGATATTCAAATCGACAGGGGCGGCACTTAGAATCACTGCCATCGTCAAGATGACCTGCGCCACGCGAGTTAGTGGTGCTCAAGGCAAATGGAAATATAATTGTACCGAACTAAAAGAGAGAAGAACGATCAGGCAAGTGTTGTTGTTGCCAGAGAAGCCGTAGATCCTGGCAATCAATAATCCTGCGTTTGAATGTAAATCCACGCTGTAATGTCATATGAAAAAACCAAACCTTCCGAGGCAATGATTCCCAAGAAATGCATGCCTGCAAAATGTCATTGCAAATTCGTGTAATGAAAATTGCCTGGACCAACCACTGACAGCATCATTAAATGGCACACACTGCATTGTTGTGAGTTGTAGTAGGTAACTGTCGCTGCACAGATAGAAGATGTACCCACATTTTGCGTGCCCCATGTCTTGAGAGCGGCTGGTCAGGAATCAGCTTTTGCTTAGTAGCGCGCACTGGCGTAAGTATCTCACAGTACAAGGTCATGACTGCACCAGCAAAAGGCACATATCGCGAAACCGTGAAGGTAGTGCGAACAACTCCCCACTTCCGTCCAAAGGTCCACTGAACCTACAAGAAAGATCAGCACTAGGGTATGGGTGGCTGATTTTTTCTGACTTCAGATTGTAACGTGATAAAGTAGTCATAAATCTAGTATTGCATCAATATTATTATTGACAAGACTGAAACAATACAACTTACTAGGATTGCTAATGCGGCGACTAGTAAAGCCGGTTCGTGAATAACGATAAACGTTGCCATCAGCCTGACCTTACCGTTAGTGTACTTCATTGACGGAAGACATTAGAGAATGGTTGCGGACAGAGCACGACTGATTACCTTGGCTAGCTGCAAACCGAAGGAATCTGCCATATTTCGTGTGGCCCAACAGGTAAATAAATGTAGCGAGCAGTTCAAAATAAGTACTACAGTGTGCACAGCAACGTCACAGCCGTGATCACAGTGTGTGACTTAGATCTAGCAGATTCGGCGGAGGGTGCCTTGCTCATGATGACCTGATCATGATGTATGGATCATGATGGTCGCACTGTGTAATTGGGGCACATGTCCATGCATGACGGAAGTAAGAGATGGCTCACATACTAAGGTAGTACACGGTTGATCATCATACGGCAAGCCTGCCAGTCGAGACTGTGGCCATGATGTACATTGTACTTACACGAGTAAAAGTTAATTCTAACTCCGACGGAGAGAACGTTATGCAACTTGAATATTTAAAAATATCTGGTCATTAGAGTTGATTCTGTCGAACACACCTTAAGACCTCAAGCGCCTGTGCCAATTGCAATGCGTTGCATTCTGAGCTCATCCATCTGCATCAGGATTCGGCTACTAGCCACCATAGGTCTAACCCGAAGACCGGCTTACATTTAAGTTGCATTTGAGGCACTTCCGAATTGCTTCGGAAACTTCAGGTTTCCCCATTCTCCAGATATACGCGGGGAAGTCAGCTTCGATTAATGGAACCCAGCTCTAGGAGGTGCGTATGGTCATTTATAAGTTGGTGCGAACGTTCGATCTTCGGTGGTACGATTGTTCTCATGTGCTTCTACTCCTTTCGTTCCCGTTCTTTTTGTTGTCATTGCCTCATTTCTATCATTTGATGGTGCCCTCGGTTTCTATTTCTCTTCTAGTGCGATCTGTTGTCACGGCTGCATCATACAAGGTATACTACCGTGTCAGACATGCATCCTCTTTGGTGGACGCTGTACTGACCGCTGCGTAAAAGTTTGCTGCAGCCTCAATCGATGTACTTCCGGAGCGAGCATCGCCCTATTCAATTGTTTGTGTGTAACCGCCCATAATACAGGGTTTGACACGGATAATACACAGGCGCTCAAGGCAATTCTCCCGCGCGAAGAAGTTGATGCATGTCACATCTATCAATTCCTTAGCGCGGAAGTATCTCAGTTTTGGAGTCGCGCAATTTACTGAATGGGCTCTCAGGCGAAGAGATGCACAACCTACCAAACTACTGGTTCGTTTGACTGTCGTGTCGTCGAGCTCAATTATCACTACAGGGCTGGTAGACGGCGTTCACACTATGAAATGAACTTTGACAGTCGGACTATTAAAATCGTTGTTAACGTTCGCTACCACGAGTAAGGCAGTGTGGCTTATCGCAAGATCCAATATCGATCATTTTTCTGACGTTACATACCACAGTACGTCGCGTGACTTGACAATATCAATATCAGCCGTTATCTCATACAATACCAGTATCAATTAAATATATTGCATTGATCGTCGCGATGCCAGGAATTCCTCGACGATGCACATCATGAGTTGGGAGAGAAGGCATTCGAAGGATCAAGGCGTGCATCATCCTGGTACAACTGACTCAACAATGTTTCACGGTAGGAAATTGATTGTTGCACTATCAGTATGGCCCGCTAAGCCTCTTCATATCCCCCTGCTGAGCTTCTCGATCTTGCTGGTCCTGCTGGGCTTCTTGCTCATTCTGCCAGAAACCTTTGTCCCCCTTGCCACTAGACTTGCTCGTGGGTTTCCTGGGAAACAGAGTCAGCTACTTTTTGACTGACATTTCTTCAACTACCCGCTCACCAGTAGGCATTGTGACAGGTCGCATCCCGCAGCGAGTGAAGCCACCCATTCTACGCCAGTGGTGCCGCTCCTGGAACCATTTCTTGACCCGCAGATCTTCCTCATCTTCTGTCACTCCCGATAATCACGAAAGTGGGCGAATAGGAACTGATATGGAGATCGGACTGCCAAGTGGGACACGACCCCAGAACGTCCTGTCTAATATCAAGGAACCAGTTATTGATCGGGGTATCCAGCTGATTGTCTTCGAGCTGACTATATTTGATACCGAGAGTCTTGTTGATAGCACGAGCTGAGGAGGGGGATATGATATTCGCTGCCCACAAATTCAGTATAGAGTATTCTCTTCTGGGCTGCACTGCGACACGATACGGAACGTGGACGAGCGTTTGAGATTGTAGGGGTAAATAAACGATAAGATATGCGAGATACTTGAGTTAGGGCTGTCATGATATGACCAGTAGCTCCTGACGACAATATGAGGTCTTAAGTCTGACTTATATAGTTGACTAGGTAAGGACGGGGCTAGATCTCTTTGGGGTTTTGAGCGCCTTGCATGAATAGAACAATTCGACTCCCGTAAAGGCGCTTTCGCAATGCAGGTGCTATCATGAAAACTCTACACTCACAATCGTTTAATCTCTAGGTCAATCACGTTCACTTCCGTAATTTAAACGGTCAATTGCAAGAATGCAAGATGAAGTAAGAAACCATGATGACGTCACAGCAACGATACCCCTCTACTCATAAAAAACTAGCGCCCTAAGCTCGATAGACTCCCTGAGCGGCGCTCCCTGTGGTGCCGAGGGATCCTTGAACCCAGTATGTGGGGTGAATTTAGCAATATTGACGTCCTTAGCCGAATCGTAACTGCGACCAAGGTAAGCGCATCATCACAGACCAAAACATAATCAGCAAACCATTTGATCAAGACTACCTCATCCGGTTTCATCCCTCTTTCGTACTTCCACCTATGTGTCGGGTTGAATTTGACCCCGAAAGTCTCACCCTCACGATCCGGATATACCAATGTGACAGGAACGAGATCTTTCCCTACGTCGACAGTCCTGTAATCGCACAGCGCCAATGGATGGTCGATTGCAGGGTGAGAGATGGGTCGCCAAAGGTTGATAATCTGGAAACGCTTTTTGACAAGTCTCTCCGCTTCGCCGGCAGGTAGATGTCGGTGTACACGAGCGGTGGCCGACTCAGGAGTCTGGTCTACATGAACTTGATTAACAGGCTGGCGTTTGCTTTCGTCCGTTTCTGCATCTCCAGGGCGGTGGCATCTGACCGCTAAGGTCCAAACAAAAATCAGATATTAGAGTATGATACGCCCGTTTCACACGTACTGTGGTCAAAAAGGACGACCTTGCTCGCGCCCGTGATGTCCTTGAGGAGTTCAATGCTCTCTGGATAGTATTCTCCTCTGATCTCTTCGTCATTGATAAAAGCACTATGTTTGGAAGGTTTCGTGACGTATTGAAAGCCTGCAGTATCCAAGGTGTAGTCACTTTCTTTTCCCCTGACGTTCTCAATCTCGACAGTATGCACCTCTTGCTTCCAATTACGCGGACGGAAGCCTGTCGTCGAATCAGTATTTATATTGGTGAATGGGCGAGACCCATCAAGGGGTGGAGCAAAGTACACGAGTTCTGCAGAGACTGTAGACATTGTTAGCAAGAAAAATGGGAGGTGGTGTTGATCAATTGGCCCCCTTATATGTTTCCACGATGACGTGCCAGGCTGACAAACGCAAGCATCCTTTCCCGTTGGCGAAGAACGATCGATTGGTCTGGATAGGAGAGACCATTTGGCCGAAATAACTTGTCACAAAGACTCCGGAACGTGACTAGAGTCTCCTTCAATACGTGCTTGCTCGGGCTTTCGTCACACAATTCGATTCCGCAGGGTGTATTCTTGGGGTTTCGCAGCTCGCCACTCCGGAGTGGGCTTTGCTCGTTAAATCTTCACGAACTCAGATGAGGTCCGAGTCATCCGACCACCGTCGCTCACTTCGTCTTCCCGCTTGGAGCCGACCACCAACCAATCTTCCTGAAGCTTGTCACTTGTCGTTTGTTATAGACTCCCATAGTCATAATGATGTAAAGAAGACAGCCGTTTTTTAGAGGAAGGACGATTTGGCGAGCTAGACTCAGATGGTCTGAGTCTAGCTCTGTCTAAATCGTCCTTCCTCCAATTGGAAACGACTGTCTTCGTTATATTATTAGGCTTCACCGGTAGTCTCTATAGAGATAATGTTTGTTGCCTTTTTTCAGCGCCAATGGTCGACATCATCAATGATTATTGGTGCTGTGCACAGCATATGATACCAGAGTGGTTTCAACGTGGCCTTGACCCAGCCACTAACATGTCAGTACAAGCGTTCCTATATTCGATTCCCAGATCAAGTTACACGGACTCATGACCATTACTTCGTTATTTTATCCATCATAGGGACACATACTACTAGCTATATCAGCCAATTATTATTTTCTTTTCCTGGGCCCTCTGCGAAGCACGTCGACGTTTAACAGGCGCACATTTTCAGCCGGCAGCGAAGGAGCTACAACTTCGGATAACTTGTCGGAAGACGTGGCATCAGGGTTATCGCTGAATAAGGGGCCACGTGTCAATTACACAAGTTAGAGACCTATTGCCTGGTATAGACCCTTCTTCATCTTCTGAAATGGTGGAAACAGCTCTGAGCATGAGTATTACGAAGCCACCACTCGAGCCACGGTTTTATCTTGTAAAAGGGGTGCGATTTTTTACTTGAGTATCCATGTCCGAGACCGACAACAGGGCGAGGGCACGGCTCTGAAAGTTGTCCATACTTGCCCTCTCTTGTGACCATGTTAGATCTATGTTTTAGTGTCAGAGAAACATGCAAAGACTCGTGGAAGCTTAAAGTATGCGATGGCCAAGTGGTCTGTACAGAGGCCGGGAGATAAACTATTATATTACCTGTTTTACTTGTCAAATTTGAGTTCGCAAAGAGCATCAGTCGAATGGCGCACCTGAGCAGTCATGACAGGGGGTAAGGTCCCCGACACCCAGCAGTTGATTTGGATGATTTTTATTTCGTCTCTCGTTGGGATAGAAAAAGGAATATATGTTTGATTGATTCCTAGAGGATGATTCAGACGAGTGCACTCCATATCTCAAAGCACCTACAAAAGCCATGGTATATATGGATTTCCAAAAGTGCGATACCGGTTCTTCCCTAGGCCATAGGAGACAAATAAAAGGAGTTCAGGCCGGAGAAATGATTTATCGAAGACTTGGAGTACTCGTAGAATGCTGAGTAAATGATTTTATTGCTGTCTATGAACAACTACAGTGTACGACGTCTAATGGAAACACTGTTAGAAAATCAATTATTATTAAAGATTGGAAATATACCCAAGTTACACCGACAGTTGAAGTGCTGACGCGCAGGGTGGGGTCTGACGCAGCAGTGACGCTACATGTGGTAGGTGTGACGAGGCAGTGACACGGCATTCACAAGGCATTGACGCGGCATGGGTAAGTGTGGAGGTTGACATTAGTACGGAGACTGCGAAGATGTTAGGAAGAACTTGTTGTGGTGCGTGTGGTACTCGACCCAGCCTGAATGAGGCTTGGCATGGTAGTACAGAGTACAGAAGCTGCATCAGACTTGACAAGGTGGGTCGAAGCTTGATACAGTAAGACATTGTCGGTTGAAAACCAATGGCAACATTAGATCAATGAATGATTAGACCCAATACAATACAAACACAAGATGCATACAGCAGGGAAAACTTCGAAGTAACTGCGACTGGAGTTAGGAAATATAATCTTGCATGATTTCACCGAAATTATAAGCAATTGTCAAAAATTACCAGAAATTACCTTGATTTTGTGAAGCTGATGGTACAACATTCCCAAGTAGTACGAACGCGGAAGACAAGCATTGTGAGATTTATGAGAGGTGAATGCAGCACTCCATGGGGCCTATGCGCAGATGGACATTCATATCTTCATATGTTGATCATTAATGAGGATTCAAAGCTGTGTTTGAAATTCATTTCGAGCGACATAAGATGGTGTTCGATAGCATTTGTGACAGTCACAGTACCGCGTCACATACGCCACATCAATGTCTTTTTTTTGGACGAGCGATATTTGTAGCAGCTGACTATGTCTAGGTGTTCCTGGAACACCGGTCCGACCGGAAAAATGCACCTACGCACTCCCACTGGTTTGTGGGCCACGTCCGAGTCGATTTCACCTGGCTAATGTTTTGAAATCTGAGCTACAAAATCGATCATTCTCCTCACCCCAATATTTACTGGAGATTGCTAGTTGAGAATTGGACTTGGTAATTGAAGTAAGAGGCTCTGCAACTTTGGATTATTGATCATCACCACCACTTCACAGTTACGGTGGGGCCATACTTATAAGACATTTTCATCTACATAAACAATCAGCTGCGAGCCAGGAGGATTGATAATATAAATGTGATATGTAAGCCAAGCGGCTTTCCGGTCCTTGGAGACATAAATAAGCAGGATATAACTTGCTTGTGATACCAAGCACACTTTCATTCCGCTTTACATCCAGCACCAACGAACTATGGCTTCTGACACCGTTGCCAACCTCAATTACATGGTCGCTCCACCTGACGGCTCTCGGCCTTACAATAACATCAACGCAGATAGCGTCACGGGAAAGCCGAACCGTAACTGGAACGAGGAGCCGCGTGAGATGGAAATTCATAACGTGCGCGGGAAGGAGGAACTTTACAAGCTTGACAACGCAGGATTTCAGTATGGGCGAGAAGCGGCGAAGCATACTAGCTTCTTGAATGATGGTGAGATTGAGCGCGAATACTATCCTGAGAGCATCGACCTCATCAAGAGAGCTACGGGAGCAACCAGCGTTGTCATTTTCGATCACAGTACGTCGGCCACTAATTTGAAACGAGGTCTTGATGCTAAATCCATGTCACAGCTATTCGTCGCCGTCGCCCAGGCGAGTTAGATGACAGCCCACAGAAACGTCAACCAGTCCCCCTGGTTCATGTGGACCAAACGACTGCGTCGGCCATTGCTCGTGTTCATAGGCACCTCCCTCCAACAGAAGCTCCTTCCCTCCTTCACAGACGCTTCCAAATCGTAAACCTCTGGCGTCCTATATCGCATGCAGCTGTAGATTGGCCGCTTGCACTATGCGATTTCCGGAGTATTGATGTGGAGAAAGACTTAGTACCTGTTGCTCTTATATACCCTGACCGCGAGGGTGAGACACTTGGAGTCAAATACAACGCAAACCACCAGTGGAAATACATGAAGGCCATGACACCGGAAGAGTTTGTTCTTATCAAATGGTGAGCGAATTAACTCGGGGGAAATTTCCGTCGTGCTGAAAGGGTCTCAGCTTTGACTCGATACAAGATGGCAGTGTGGCGAGGCTGACCCCTCATACTGGGTTCCAAGACCCGAACACTCCAGAGGGAACGCCACTTCGAGAATCCATCGAGCTGAGAGCTCTGGTATTCTATAATTAGAACACGTATTATCAAGTAGAGCTAATACCTCATACCACGTTACTTTGGCGTATGTATGTGCCATCTTATCGAATTATCATGAATCAGAGAAAGTTTGACACACTTGACCTGAATTTGTAGCAGAGTTTCCCGATTTGAAGCTTGCAAGGGACCAAGAGCCTACGAAAAGAAACTCGAAGTGAAAGAAGCGAAGCAACGAGACGCAGAAAGACGAGAGGATGTGATCGTGGAAAAAACAACGTCGGTCGAAGAAAAGGCAGATGAAACGAACAATATCTAAGAAGGAACAAATATTTGCATGGAAGTGTAAAGTAGTGTTAGGCTGTAACAGTTTGAAGCAGGCGGCGGCTTAGTCAGCCAAGACGAGCATAGAGAGCGTCAACGCACTGAGACATAACCATGCCATGCAGCAGAGTCCAGCATCGAGACACATAGCACTGCTCCAACGGTACATCACGATAAAGACCCCGATCAAATAGTCTGCGACGTCGTGTGCTCGAGCAAAACTCGAGTCTACATAGTAATTTTCAACCCGTCAAGCTTCAAGTATCGAGTATTTTAATTTCACCGCGCAGAATCCAGATGTTACGGTTCACCAACACTAGTACTGTCCACTTCTTGAGTCTTCAAAGCTTCATGTACGCATGCGCTTCCTGAATGTGTTCTCATCTACATCTTTGAATGTTCAAAGTACTCCTTAAAATTCCACGACCTAACTCAGGTTTAGCTATAGGGTGCTGTGCGACTTCCTCTTTGTACTCCGATATCCACGCCTACAGCAAACAACTCTACATTTATGGCTCTCAGTTGGACTGGTACTGTGCGCCCCGTTCGCACCTGCAACTTGATTAATGTCGATCCAGCCTGGTTGATTTCACTCCACGAATATTGTGGCAGATATGGACCATCCATGCCCGTTTCACTTCGGCAGCTGCATGCTCGGCTTTATGTGATAAACCATCATGTCTTTGGCCAGATCCTGTCTTCTTCGACCTTTTAGGACATATCTAATGGCTGTAGTCTCTATAGGGGTAACTTATGTCACCTGCTTGCAACGCCAAATGGCGACATCATCAATAATTATTGGTGCTGTGCACACCATCTGTATGCTAGGTGGTCTTTGGTGGGAGAGCCTTAGTAATTAAGGTAAGAAGCTCTACGACTTTGGATATCCCGCATTTCCGTGGCGCCTTGCTTATGAGATATTTTCATTCGCATTAACAATCAGCGAACCAGGAGAATTCATAATGTGATATAGATGTATAAGCCAAGCGGCTTCCTCGGCATTTGAAGACATATAAGTAGGGCACAACTTGCTCTTCACACCAAGGGCACTTCTATTCTGCTTTACATCTAGCTCCAACGGACTAAACATGGCTTCTGACACCGTCAGCACCCTCAATTACTTCCTCGCTCCAGTTGACGGCTCTCGGCCTTACAATAGAATCAACGCAGATAGCGCCACGGGAAAGCTGGCCCGAAACTTCACCCATGAGCCGCATGATATGCAAATCGAGGACGTGCGCGGGAAGGAGGAACTTTACAAGCTCGACAATGCAGGATTTCAGTATGGGCGAGAAGCGGCGAAGCACACTAGCTTCTTGAATGATGATGAGATTGAGCGCGAATACTACCCTGAGAGCATTGACCTCATCAAGAGAGTTACGGGGGCAACCAAGATTGTCATCTTTGATCACAGTAAGTTGACCACCCATTTGAAACGACATCCTGATCCCTAATTCATGTCACAGCTGTTCGCCGCCGTCGCCCAGGCAAGGCAGGTGATAACCCAGGGAGACGTCAACCAGTCTCCGCAGCTCATGTAGACCAAACGCCTGCGGCGGCCACCGCTCGTGTTCATAGGCACCTCCCACCAACAGAAGTTCCTTCCCTCCTTCGCAGACGCTTCCAAATCATAAACCTTTGGCGTCCGATATCGCATGCGGCTGTTGATTGGCCGCTCGCACTATGCGACTTCCGCAGTGTCGATTCCGAGCAAGACTTGGTGCCTGTCGCTCTTATATACTCTGACCACGAGGGTGAGACATTTGGAGTCAAATACAACGCAAACCACCAATGGAAATACTTGAATTCAATGACTCCGGAAGAGTTTGTTCTTATCAAATGGTGAGCCAAATAACTTGGGGGATCTTTCCATTGTGCTAAAACGGCCTTAGCTCTGATTCGATACAAGATGGCAGTGTGGCGAGGTTGACCCCTCATACTGGGTTCCAAGACCCGAACACTCCAGAGGGAACGCCGCCTCGGGAGTCTATTGAGCTAAGAGCTCTGGTATTCTATGATTAGAAGACGTATTATCAGATACCGTTAATAACTCGTACCGCGTTTTGTCTCTGTATATGCCATATATGCCATTTTATTATCACGAATTAGTTAATCTGAATTTGTAGCGGAGGGGTTTCTTGATGAAGCTTGCAAGAGAACAAGATGCCTACGAAAAGAAACTAAAGACCATGGAATGTGATCAAGGATGAAACAACGGTCGAAGGAGAAGCAAATGAAACGAACGGTATAGAAGGAGCAGATGATACATATCAGTACTTCTAACCAGAGAGACACATAAGACGCTCGAGTAAAACTCAAGTTTCCTTTACATAATTCTCAAGTATTCATCTGAGTGTTCGTTTATGTGTAAGTCCGTGCGCTCTCTGAATCGCGTTCTCCTCCATGTCTCTGAATATCTGACCGGGTATTCCTCATAATTCCACGACCTAACTGAGGCCTAGCTGTAAGGTTCGTATTAATGCTGTGCGACTTCCTCTTTGTACTGCATCCATACCATTCAGATCCGGCATGCACGATTGCATGGATTATGGCACCTTTATCGGAATTGTTAAAACTGTCAATAGCGTCATCGATCGGAGGATTACAGCGTGCACAAAGTTCATTTTCAGACGCTTACATCATGGTTAGATTTTCTTTCAGTGCTTCCAGTACGCGTTTTCTTCGTTCGCCCTCAAGGCCTTCAAGAACCCCAGGAAAGCCCTTTCTAGCGTTCACCTTCTCAGGTTCAGAACCTTGCGTTTGAGAGAACAAAGCGACTTCCTTGCCGTAGAAATCGCGAAGAAGAAGTGAACCTCCGTATGCATTTGCATAAAGCTCGAAGGAATTAGCAGAAACTGCAGATGTTTCCCGGTGCGACAGTGGACGGAGTACGTTGGACTGGAATTCGAGCAAAATAGATGCTCGATGTGGTGGACAGAGTCCGATTAACTTGGTCACTAAGAACTACTACTGTCATCAACAGAAGGTCTAGGAGCGAAGATAGACCGAACAAACTTTCGAGTACTTGCTTTGAGCCCCTTCGCGACCTAGTCCCTTTTGCCCACTATATTTCACAACAGTCTGGATAATCCAGCTTGCATCGTGCTTTAGACCGATATCCTTGACTTTCCTTGGGTCAACAGAAGCTCCTTCCCTCCTTCGCAGATGCTTCCAAATCGTAAACCTCTGGCGTCCTATATCGCATGCAGCTGTAGATTGGCCGATTGCACTATGCGACTTCTGCAGTGTTGATTTCGAGAAAGACTTGGTGCCTGTCGCTCTTATATACACTGACCGTGAGAGTGAGACATTTGGAGTCAAATACAATGCAAACCACCAGTGGAAATACATGAAGGCAATGACCCCAGAAGAGTTTGTTCTTATCAAATGGTGAGTGAAGTAATCCGGGGAAGTTTTCCGTGGTGCTGAAAGGGTCTCAGCTTTGACTCGATACAAGATGGCAGTGTGGCAAGGTTGACCCCTCATACTGGATTCCAAGACCCGAAAACTCCAGAAGGAACGCCACTTCGGGATTCCGTCGAGGTGAGGGCTCTGGTATTCTATGATTAGAACATGTTTTGTCGAGAGGTGTTAAGAATTGAGAAAGGCCTTGTACCGCGTTTCATTACTATATCTGTATGTGTAGTTGTACTTTGCCGATTTCACTCTTGGAAATTGTGCACAATCCTCGTGGACGTATCGTGACCATCATGACACCATCCATGCATTCATGACAACTTCAACATGGTAGTGCTGCCGCGATCCGGTTGAACGAAACCATGGAACCCAGAACTGGGCTCTCGCGAACGGTTCGGAATGGTCAGGTTCGGGGTTTTTTTTTGGGGGAGGGTTGCACTTGAACCGAACCGAAAAAAATCTAGCGAAGCAAAACACACGAAAAAGTATTGTGGTCGTATATAAGTCGGACAGGGAGGTCAGGCTGTAGGAAGAGCAGGGAGAGTAGGCAGTGATAGAGGTCAAACACGAAAAGGGTCGACCTAGGCACAGGAAGAGAAAGTTGTTAACACAGATGGGCATTTAAAAAGAATAGACGAAGAACGAACACAGAACGGCTTATATTCAAAATTTACAACCTGCCAAGTGCTATCATGCCCCCCTACTCCTGCACTGTCTCGACGGCAGTCTGTCATGTGTACCCACCCGCACTGATTTTGCTCTCCTTGCGCCATATCTCGCGCAAGAAATTGTTGTTACTCTGTGGTGGCGCATCCACGTCGATATTTCCGCTGATACGTGTCTCGGTGACGTGGAGGTGGGCGAGGTCCTTCCTGAGCTGGCTTACGAGGTAGGAGAATTGTGGGTTTGGATCGGGGAGGCCCATGTCTGCATGAAAGTGAGTCCAGCATAAAATGGAATGGAGACAGAACGCTCTTTGAAACGGACTCCGTGCACTCAACCTCGCACTCGCTAGTCACGGTTCTCGCAGCGGCCAGTCATACCGGAAGCATCGTCATTTTAAAAAACCACTTTGAAGCAATGGCATTGCTATAAAGCTTAAGTAGCACAGCTGACTGACCTCTCCAACTGTAAAACCGTGGTGGCCGGGGGGCGGGTGGGTGTTCGTTCGGCGGGATTCTTAGTTTGAAGACTGTGTTCGAACCAGGTCCAAAATAAAACAGTTCTGCCAATGCCAGAACAAAGAACCGACGACCGGTCACATTTGAGTCGAAGTACAATTGTGATACAGAGATTGGAAACGCACTGTGTTGTATTCGCTGCTTATGTCAGTCACCTAATACGGAACAATACTTGTTTTGTTAAATCGCTTGGCCTCATGTTGGTAGCGTGATGTTCAATACTTATTGTTCAATTGAGAGGAGGTAACGAGGTTTATTGCTCCAATTGTCTTTTGGCTTATATCAACGACCTTCTCAATCTAGTTCATTTTCTTCGTGCCCAACTTGATTTCTTTCAAGATCAGCCTAGACAAGCACTGTGTGCTTTCAAGTCGTTCCTGTACTCTTGCTTTGACTTTGTGAATCTCGCCCTGTGCTCCTAATAAGACCTATCCACTCTTTAATCTCGTACTGTGCAATGTCTTCTACCGCGATCTCGACGATCACATATCCATGTCCCCCACCCACTACAAACACTCTTGACTCCCGACAGCGTATGCGTCTCATACGTTCTGCGCGCAAATTGGGGGCAGTCATGGGCACCACACCCTACCTCCTCGAGGCAGATGTCCCTATCACACTTCTCCCCATCGGGGGTAACAAAAAATCAGTGACGGACAAAGCACTGAAGCGCCAGGGCTCTGTGTTCATGCATTACCACAGAGACTCCCCCTCTGTAACATCATTTAGCTCAGCTTCGACAGCATCTTTCCACTCCCCGTCCACCTCACTGGTCTCGCTACCTTCCAGCATGCGGAGCACGGAGTCCTTCTCGGTGATACCACCTGGCCTGCCCGTGCGCGGTAGAAAGTCAGCAGATAAACCCAGACCATTGTACCTTCGCATGAACGCCGTCCCTGTATCGCCCACCGACCATTACTCTACATCATTACCGCCCACACCTTCCTCGACTAGCGCAACCTCCGCTTACTTCCCCCCTACGCCTCGTACGCCAAGTTTCGACGCGGCAGAACTGCGGAGAAAGCGGATGGCAAAACTTGCACGGCATCTAGGCGAGAATGTGCCTCCTGAATTAGTCACAGCACATGGACCGCCTGCTCAATTACGTTCTGAAGGCGTGCCCAACAGGAAGCGACGCAGCATGTCCGTCGACCTCACGAGCCCACCTATCGCTCCGAGGCCTAAAGTTTCCTCAGAGACTCGGACAAACAGCGATTGGGTTGGCGAGTGGAATCGACCTGATATCAGAGACGTTCAGAGGGAACTGAGAAATCTCAAGGCTGTGCGATGGTAATGACTTCGCAGTTTGGGTGGCTTCTATTACCCCATCACATGATTTTATGCCCCCGTATTATGACATCCTACTGGCTGCAGGCATCCAGCCGGACGACATGCAATTTACGATAACTAGCCATATCTACATATGTATCACGTTAGGCGTTTCTTCACATCAATAATTCATACATCCGCAAGTACGTACTACTACTGAGATCATTTGTAAAACATAATACATACGCGTGGGCATCGGTCGCACATCATGCATTCCCTCTTACACAGGCCGAAGTTCCGAGTACACACAATGCTCTATTTTTAGAATAGTGACCCACTTTGGCACTTTTGCTTTCGAGTTGACTATCATGTTTAGTAAACCTAATGGTCCCAGTCAAGCACGACCAATTCAATGGGTCATCGAGAACCACACGAGGATCTACATTCACTTGATGGAGTCGAAATATCTCGGCACTTGTGTGTCCACTACTAATCATTAGGTAGATCATCAGGTTCTCTTACGGATCTATTGCCTTTAGTGCGTGGAGCGTGGAACTTGGAAGACCACACATGTCCGATTGATCCGTGCAGGTGTCGAATTCGTGTTTGTAAGTCAGTGTAATCGTGCACTGTAATCTCAGCGTACCCGTCGCTCATCGCAGCAAGTCACCATGTTCTGGGGTATTTAACCTGTTGCAATGGCGAGGGGTATCCTCACTATCAACAAGCTCAACTGTTTTAATGGCGTTTATCACTATTGCATGCACCCTTGTGGTCTTGACCAGCATCTGGATCGTGAAGCAACGATATCAGGCCGCAAGGCGGTTGCCATTACCGCCTGGACCGCCTGGACGTTGGCTTTTAGGAAATGAGATGCCAAAGTCATAGTAAGTGTTTGTCATTGGACATCAATATGATATCTAACCGCTCACACAGTGCGCCGTTTCAATTTGCGAGGTGGACAGAACAATACGGACCCGTGTTCTCGCTCAAACAAGGCTATAGGATTTTCGTGGTTATAGGACGTCATCAGGTAAGCATCAAACGATTCATCGTCAAGTCAGGCATGAAATGGGTCTCGTCATAGGCTGCAGTGGATATCATGGAAAAAGAGGGAGCAAATCTCGCCGACCGCCCACGTTCTATTGCAGTGCAAGAGACATTATCCGACGGGATGAGAATGGTCCTTGAGCGCAGTGGTGAGAAATTGCGTCGGGTGCGCAGGTACACATCTTATCTCTACCAGGTGCAATCAGTAAGACTGATCGTAAAGCAGGGTCTTGCATGCAGGTTTACAACCCAAGGTTGCGGCGACCTATGAACCCATCCAGACCAGGCATGCGAGGAATCTGATTCTAGATATCTTAAATGATCCGAAGAACCACCAAAGTCATGCCATGCGGTACGAACACCAGCTCTTGCTCACGTGGTACAGGTTATAATCTGTGCATTTTAGTTATGCAGCTTCCGTGGTCATGTCCTTCACCTATGGAAAAACTACTCCGACTTCGTACACAGACCCTGAAATTGTTGCGGTCAATAAATCTCTTGCGCGTTTTGGTCAAGCTATAAGGCCAGGAGCATACCTTGTGGATACATATCCAATTCTGCGTTTCGTCCCAGGGTACCTGAGCCAGCTGAAGGCATGGCACCAAGAAGAACTTGCTCTCTTTAACGGGCAGTTGGACGCGGTGCGAAGACAGATGGTTCGTGATTTTGTTGCTCTGACGGATACCCTGGCTCACCATTGTGAAGCGTGAGGGAACTGCAGAGCCATCCTTTGGACGGTTCATTTTAGAGCACCAGAAACAGTACCAGCTCGAAGAGAAGGGACTAGGATATATTGCAGGGGGAATGTTTGCTGCCGGTTCTGATACTGTAAGCTCTTACATCGCATGACGTCTTAACTTGACGACTGTTGTAGACTGCTTGTGCAATCACAATCATGATGATGGCCGCTACCATCCACACGGACGCACAGGCTCGTGTACAAGAGGAACTCGATAACGTTGTGGGGCGTACGCGGCGTAAGTTATGCCTTTTCTTTGTTCATCTACTGACTGAATAGCTCCTTATTAGTGCCGACATTTGATGATCAGGAAATGCTGCCACAGGTTACCGCGTTCATGCTCGAGAGTCTGAGGTGGAGACCTGTCGCCCTTGGAGGCAGGTCTTATTTGAGTTGTGATGATGCGACAGTGAACAACGACCTTGCACTACAGGCTTTGAACATCGCGCAACCAAGGACATAATTTGGAAGAACTACCTCATTCCTGCAGGTGCGACTGTTATTGGCAACCATTGGTCAGTTGGCAATCGTTTTCGTTGTCTCACCTTTATCTCTGACGCTGGTCTTTCAGGGCTATCGCCAACGATCCCGAGGTCTTCCCAGAACCGCACAAGTTCAATCCTCAGCGTTGGATTGACGATGCAGGTCGTGTGCGCGATGATCTCCGATTTTTCACTTTTGGCTTTGGCCGCCGGTGAGTGGCATCGCTCGTCTTGCGACCCGATCTCATGACTTACTTGAAAATGTCAGAGTGTGTCCCGGTCAGCATGTCGCAAATCGGTCTATCTTCATCAATACAGCTCTTATTCTCTGGGCTTTCCGTCTTTCTGAGAATCCTGCAGCAAAGATTGACACGCTTGCTTTCTCAGATACTGCGGTTATACATGCTGCTCCGTTTGAGATATGTTTGGAGAAGAGGATTGATGAGAACCTGATCAGGGAACTGTGCGCACCTGGGAAGTAAAGGGCGTCTGTCTGGGAAATTGCAAGTTCAGTATGCTTATATATTCAAATAGTTGATAGTACTTCATACATGCGTTGTGCGCTTGACACTTGTGTACAGTGCACGCCTTTGTGCGTGGGAATCTTAGATATTCTTGTGGCTGTATTGTGAGGGTTGGCGCCGCCGGTTTCATAGTTGTGCTGCACTACAGGCACAATAGCGTATTATCCGCGTTCGACATGGGCAAATTGAATATCGCTCATCACAAGTCATACCACCCCTACCGCCGGGACAACATCGAACGCGTACGGAGAGATGAAGAGGAAGCTGCGCAAAAGGAAGCCGAGGCTGAGGGAAGGGTAGTGCTGGCTGATGCAGAGGCTCGGTTGGACCTCCTCCGAGAGCGTGCAGGACTTGGGAAAGGGAAGGGGAAGAAGAAAGAGGACGATATGAAGGCTATAGATGATGCCAAGGCCTCTACCGTTGCCAAGGACTCGAAACAAGGTCATATCAATCTATTTGAGGATTTAGAACAGGTTGGGTTGTTCTCGCCATCTTGTTCGCATATATTGATATGGTGCTAGCAAGAAACTATTACCGCCATACGAGCGACGAAGAAGACCGCACAGCTAGAGACTGAGAAGGGTGTACCACTGGCTCCAAGTGCTAAGGACCTCAAGCCATGGTACAGCGAGCGCGATAAGGGAAAGGAATACCAGGAGGATGAGAAGAGTAAACGCTCAAGGTATGCAGCTCATGCTACTCTAGCCGTACATTTAAGACTTCCCTTTGACATTTCAGATTGCGGGATCTTGCTTCAAAGACTATGAACGACCCTCTCACAGCCATCACGCATCAGCTTGCATCAAGCTCTTCATCGAACAATTCTTCCCCTGTCCCTCAGCCGTCATGGCGACATTCCAAATATCGCACCCCACCTGATTCAAATAATAAGATGAAACCGCCTCCCCCACCCTCGGATGCTACGACCATGCGCCTCACACGCGAATCATCAGAACGCGAACGCGCGCTGGCGTTGATTCGGCGCAAGCAGCGTGAAATGAGAGGCAGCGAGACGCCGAGCACTGTGCACGGGGGCCTAGATGAAGGGTATGGGGATGTATTCAACCGGCGGGAGGTCGAAGAAGCGCATTCATATCGACGAAGGCGGTGGTAAGTACATTCCCAGTCTATGAGACCTATTTATTGCACTGTATGCTCTACCTCCCGCGACGGCGCTACGATGGGATGTTGTATCAATGGTTTAGGTATTTGGCTTGTTCCTGGACATGCTAGCTGGTGTTATCGTGACCTACCCTGCTATTCGATAGTGAGTGCATTAGCGAGGTACGTGTGTCACCTCACTTATAGCAAAAGTCAAGACCTCCAGTATCACTCGGTAAAGTATTTTCTGCTCGTGCATAAGGTTAAGTACCTTGCCATCGCGCGTCTACTACCCACGACCTGCACTCTCCCTCCACCTACCAACGCCTAACCTCCAACTTGCGCCCTCCCGCGTGAAGCGCCAATTGCAACTACAGTGATCCTACGGTCCTTTGTACACAACCAACCCATTATACAATTTAATTTTCTCAATGAGGTCTTCGTCAACTTGCAAATATCATATCATGTTCAGAATATGTGATGGTACCGAAAAATAGACTGCTCAAGTTTAGAAAAATCTGCAAAATATCACTCCAGAGCAATATGTTTGAGCATCAAAACTTTACCATTGCACCCAGTTTCACCCCCTCCACTTCATTTGTGAACATCACAAATGGATTAGAAACAGTGGAGATGATTTTAGTCAAAATTTGATTGGTGCTACATGTTGTGATCCATGGGTAACTTTGTTACCTGGACTAAACTTGGACATGAGGCGCCCTCTTGACTTGGTCTCACTCAACATCTCCCTTTCACTGCCGGTATTCAACCAATACCTTTGAACTATACATATATAATATTTTATAAAATGTGGTTGATCAATGACAAAGTGCTTGAACTTTGAGCATGATCTGTGCCCTAGGATTTGTAACGGTGCCGCCAGTGCCGCGTCAATTTCACCTGGCCCGTTTTCTGAATGCCGAATGGCGACATCATCAGTAGCCATTGATGCTTTGCACGTCATATGCACACCAGGTGGTCAGAGCTTTAGTAATTAAGGTACGAAGCCCTACAACTTTGAATATCCCGCATTTTGGTGACGCCATGCTTATGGGATACGTTCATCTATATTAACAATCATTGGGTCAGGAGAATTCATAATGTGATATGTAAGCCAAGCGGCTTCCTCAGCCCTTGAAGATATATAAGAAGGATGTAATGATACCAAGCACACTTGCATTCCACATTACATCCAGCATTAACACATCAACGATGACTTCTGACACCACCAGCGCCCTTAACTACTTCGTTGCTCCAGTTGACGGCTCTCGGGCTTACAATAGAATCTACGCAGATAGCACCACGACAAAGCCGCCTCGCAACTGGACCCAGGAGCCGCATGACATACAAATTGAGGACGTGCGCGGGAAGGAGGAACTTTACACGCTTGACAATGCAGGATTTCAGTATGGGCGAGAGGCGGCGAAGCATACTAGCTTCTTGAATGATGGTGAGGTTGAACGAGAAT